CAAGACACCCTGAAATAACGTGCTATAGCGCGAAACCGCGACGCAACCGCTCACACGTAGGGTTTGTCTGATTATGTTGTTTAAGTTCTTCTTTATAAAAGTTTTTGATTTTTTTCTTCACCGCTTAGTTTTATTGAGAGCTATTTGCAAAAGTATCATTGCAAGTAGTAGTCTAGTGAATTGGTCTTGATATTGGTAGGGCTGTTTCTTACGAGTATCAAATAAACATCGCCTTTAGTACGCAGGTTTGGTTAAGGCGCTGGTACCTCGTGTTTCTTTTAATATTCTTTCCTTGAGGGAGGGGAGAAAACCTGTGTCCTGTGCAGGGTCGTGAGCTCTTAGTTGTGGCGACTGAATTTTGCTACAAACTCATTTCAAATAGCTCTTTTGTTTTTATTAAGAGTTGATTTCATTTGTGAGGTATTTGCAAATTTTTCCAGGTGTTTAAATAACCATCCATCTCGAAGGATGCTAGTATGATCCTTTCTGCATCGCGCTGCCATCGAATTTGCTGGCTATCTAGACGGACCTCTACTATCGCTGCTGCGTTGCCGAAGAAGAGCCGCAAGGATATAATTTCGGTGAGCTGTTTGATTTGTCTGCTGCTCATCGCAGCTTTTGTTGCTGGCCTCTCCAGAATCACCTCATCAGGACTAATACACTTCACAAAATCCATATTCGCTGTTTTGACATCGTTCATCGCCTAGGATGAAAGATTCGAAAGTATTAATAGCTAGATCTTTCAAACATTTGTTCGAATTACATGTTCTGTATGGTCTCCATTATAGGCATAAAATTAGCTGGACAGAAAACTTTAAGATTGCTTCGAAGTCTAGGAAGGGTTTCTATACATTGCTTTTTAGTTAGATCGTCAGGAAGGAAAGGAAAAGCAATCTCGTAGAAATGGGAACAGTCGAGGAGATGGAGGAAATGAAGGTCATAAACGTCCGGCTGGCTCATTTTCCATGCTTGTAAGGTGTTCGTTAAATCTATTACTTGCCTCCATACACTAGACTGATATGAACGCTGTTTTCAATTAATCTTCATATTTGTATGTTTCAGATCATCCCTGCTGTAACATTTGGTTTGGGTTGTTGGCAAACGTATCGGCTTAGATGGAAGCTCAATTTGATCGAGAAATTGCGAGAACGTCTGAATGAGCCTGCTGTCGACTTCCCGCTTGACGAGTGCGTTCCATAAGTGGAACCGTTCTTTATTCCAAAACGCCCTGTAGCTAATGATTTTTAGCGTTTCTCAATTGAAAAATATGGAATACAGGAGAGTGAGAGTAACTGGTGAATTTCTACATGACAGAGAGTTTCCCATTGCTCCTCGAGGCCGCTTTGATCCAGGTTTGCTTATGTTCGGTCCATTTTCCTGCAAATGGTCATTTTTCATCGTGATGAATTTATAGGTCATGCTGAAAGGACGACTGCATCGATGTTGTCTAATGATAATCTCTCTAGTCATGGTGCTCATATCATCACACCATTCCGTCTTTTAAATTCAGAGTAAGAGCTTTGATGTTGCGGTTTGATTAATACAAGTTCTACGAAAGTGAAATGTTTAGGACGTTTTGCAAAAGTGGAACTCAACTTTTGGAAGAATTTTCGAATTTGCTAAAGATTGAGGTTTAACATAATATGCCCTGCTGATGGTCACTGTTGCAATCCTGTGTTGTGAAGTGAACCTTTCTTGCTCGGAAAACAAGAGCATGGCATTCCTGACGTTTTCAGTAATTGCCCTGGTCATCATAATCTCTTGACATGTCCGACTCTCTTCATCTTCGACTCCATTGCGTGAGCAACAGCGCCCCTTATCTTTATTCGTTGATGAGTCAGCAGTTCTTCGCTTTAGCCCTTGCGCATGTTCAGAAGCTCTACTCTCGTCAGTTAGCTCTACTCTACAAAGTGCTTGATGAGCTGACTGCTGTCCAACCTGTGTGAGTAATATCCATGTCTCCCAGGCGTAAGTCAAGGCAGTAAGGACCAGAGTAACGAAAAATGGCGCGTACACAGATTTTCTTTGTATTTTTCTTTTCTCTCGTTTCAAAGAAACGTCGCTGTAAAGATCACCCAACATTTGGAATAGAATGCTATTGGTGAATACACATTGTTCAGGATTGATAAGGAACACTAGAAATTACTATTATTTGTTCTGGAGTACCTGTGGGTAGGCATCATATACCACATGTTTGAACTAATATTCATTTTTCGATAAAGCATTCTATGCTTTTCTGTTATGGTAGTTTTTGATTCAAACCTCTTTCAGTCTTGTTATCATGATCAATCGAGGTTGGGTGCCTATTTCACGCATCTCTCCGAATAGTCGCCAGGATTCTCAGGTCAAGGGAATTGTCACCTTTGAAGCTGTTGTCAGGAAAAGTGAAACGGTAATTTCAAGTTAAACATTATTGCCCTTATGCGTGGAAGTGACGAATAGGTGTAGTCATGGAAGTTTAGCGTCCACAATTCATGGGTGCAAACATACCAGAGAAAGGAACTTGGTTCTATAAGGATTTCGATCAAATGGCTCGGCAATACGGTACTGCTCCAATATATCTTGAAGCAGTTTACGGTAAGTCTGTTTGTCCAATTCTTATTCAGGACATTTTTCTGGCAACTATGTTCAGCGCCAACAATGTCCTATGCTTTGTCGTGATACCTTTCAATCTTACTCCATAATCAATTTTGGCTCTGACCTTTTATATGACCAAAGTATATTGTCTTCATATGTTATGCCGTCTCACAGTGTCGTAAAGGATTTCGAATGAGAAAACTTTGATGAGTTCTCAGCAAGAAGGTTCTATTCCATCAAGCAAACTTCTTACTGTAGCAACCGGAATTGAAAATCACTCTGTGCAATTCACGAGTTTCTTGCTCATTTTATTCTAATGTGTTCGAGGAAACTCGACGAGCATATACCCTAAGTCGTACCGATTAGCACTTGTTCTGCACCTCGACTCGACTGTTTGTACCTCGACTTACGGCTTACCCCCCACATTACTCATCTTCTCTTTCCTCCGTAACAATTGGGGCTAGTTGTTATGGAAGAAAGACAAGATGAGTTGTGTAGGTGGTAAGTCAGGCTAGGGCATCCTTCCCACTCTAACGATTAATCATCGTAAAAGCTTATTCGCGAACCTTTATAGGTTCATCGCTTCCACGAAAATTTTCTTTCTCGTATACATAGGTATGCTAGTTTTAATTGAAGATTCTGTTGATCACCTGTGTTCAGAATCCACGATACCAAGAGGACCGATCGGTGGACAATCTAACGTCACTGTTAGAAACGATCATCTCCAATATTTGATCACGTGGTTAGTTTGTTGGTTGCCTTTGGTGAGCCAGTGTCTTTGTTTATCGAAATTCAAATTTTAGGTTTTCTCTGAGTGCAGTGACGCTGGCGATGTGGTTTCTTCGTTTTAGGAAGTAGTTGATGATGCTCGTTGTTGAACATGAAGTTTTTGTTTGCCGGTAGTTTATATGGCACGCTCAGTTCAGAGCTGCTTCTTGTTACTGTCAGAATGTTGTTATTGTTATCGTGAGAGGTTGAATAGAACTCGCGAATAGTGAAAGCGTAAGTCTGGATCTCGTAGAAGCTTTACTGTTCATCAGAACGAGTGCGATCGATTGTTCTCGCTACAGATCGCTCTCCAATTACGCAGTTAAGATAATGACTCTTACAGGTTGATAATCTTTCTTGTGCAGACCCCTTAGTGCCTTTATCTTGGCCGAGTAGCTCTAGACGTTGTTCTTCTTCAGTTTACTTCGCATCTTTATCAGTGCTAAAATGTATAAATATTTTTTTAGATCCCCATGTACTTTCTTATACTGGCTTATAGCACGACAGTGTCGCACATTTTACCTGAATTAGAATTTTCTTCACTTTCCTTCAGTTCAACTGACAAGTCTTCATTAGTTTTGGTTCACTCAGCCAGTGAGTGATACAGCGAAGCTCGCCGGGTTTCATTCATGTGATGATCTGCCATAGTCAGCCACAAGTAGCGTGCGCTACAGTAATTGATGAAATCACTGATGACAACTTAATAAACTTCTTTGTTTTCAGAAAAGCGAGTGCTCAAATGACCACCCATGGCGTTTGGACGGCTCTAGTAGTGCTAGAGATAGCCGTCTATGAAAGTGTATGCAGCAATAATGAAGCGGCTATTCCTGCTGATTGGACCGATCCGAATGATCCAACGCTTTCGCAGCGGAATAATCCCTTTACTGGACAACTTGCTGATGCCTCCAAAAATGTAAAAGTATGTCATATTTCCAAAAAATGCTTGATCGTGAGCTGCGGTTTCTTGAGGAGTTAGCTCAACACAAAAAGTGCGATATAACTTAGAGGATCTTGTGGTTTACTCCTTCCATTCCCCTGCGGTTCTCTTTTAGGCGAAGCTCGAAGCTCGGTTCTCTGTTTCAATACGTTTCCTACCAGTCCTTAGAAACGTGGTACTGTGAGTAGACTACTGCTAACATAGTGGTGCTAGTTATCGGTTCCAGGATAAGCATGTCGTTTTGCTCTCCACCACTAGACTTTGTTGGCACCACTTCTTGAAGCAGTTATACGAACAAGAACTCATTTCGGCGCGATTTCTTTTCTCCATCTTAGTATCATCAATTCTCAAACCAGGCATGGACCAGGCTGCAAAGGCCTCAATAAGAGCGGCGGGAATGAAGTGGAAGTTGACATGAGGCTGCTTGAATGGACCTGTGATGGACTCGGCTAGAACGGGGAAAGAATGTGGACACCGGGATGGTCGTGCAGACAGCCGCAGTTCAGCTGAAGATGAGATAACAGCTTGCTACAGTATGGACACGTGCTGCAAAGGCCAAAAAATCACGCCATAAGGAAGGCAATGGAGCTCGAAGGCCAAGGGGAGCGACTGCGAGGGCTGCAAAGAAGAGGTGTCACGAACTGTGCAAGAAGGACCTGTCCGAAACCAAGGCAACGACAGACGATGCAGTAGATAGAAGGAAACGGCGATGATTCGCAAGAACGGAGTGGGGGGGGGGGGGGGGGGGGGNAGGCTGCAGTTCGTGAGATTTTGCGAGATTGTCTTGTACCTGTGGAAAAGACCAGTATGATCACTTGCACAGTAGCAGTTCTTCATGACAAATTGGTTGGTATATTGGTTCCTACACCATCTCATCGAGAAGTTGTAATATCCAGGCTATTTATCGTCTCCTGTTTGATGTAGGAGGAATTCTACTGCAAGTTCGTTCCTTTTTTCTATCTCATCCTGTGAGCAATTCAAAAAATTTGTTTCATGCTAAGAAAGGAATTTCGAACTATTTTGTTCAAAAGGGTAAATTCAGGTGCATACTGCTTATGATCCAACATTACGGCTTATCTTGCGTCAAATGTTCAAAGAGCTTGGCGTTGATCCGTTGGAGAAGACATTCTTTACACGCAAAGCAAAGTGAGTGTTAATGGTTATATCTAGGTGCTTGATTGCGGCCCTTTGATTTCTAGCTATTTGACACTAGCTAGTGCTGCTCACATCTAGCATCTAGTAGGCATTGTGCAGAAGCTAGGTTTTGTTGTAGGTACAGACGCATGTACTTATCCGTTACTCAGTTCTCTGTCGCGCCACATACTGAGTTGCTTTAGTGTAAAAGAAATGACAAAGGCTGTGTTAGGGTGCCATTTCTGAAGTTCTATTATAAAACGGGCTGTAAAACACAGTGTGTTTGGCAAGGCAAACACCGTCAGCTACGGCGCGCACGCTAACGCAGCTTACGAGCGCGTGCACTCAGCGCTCAACGCTCAGCGCTGTACTTTGGAGGCGCCCAGTCTTTCGACATAAACTCAAGTACGCTGTTAGTACACGTATTTGCATGAACTATAAAACTAGTCGTTTGATCGGATTCATTTCACATGGATTATTTTGATTGCTCTGCTCCGGGAAAGGTAACTAATATCAAAATGTTGACCTAATAAAAGCGTTGATTATTTTGGGAGATGTGATGGATATGCAATGGTTCCGCTTCCGCTAACTCTTTCATAACTCTAATTTGTTCAGGGTTTCTCTATCTTCTCTGAATATGAGAGTTATTGGATCATATCTAGAGATGGACACCCTAGAAAATGAGCTATCCATAAAAGAACAAGTTCGAGGTGCATTACATAACATGTTTGAAGTGGTAAGTTTCTAAGGTGTTCTCATTCAACTACGAATCAGCATACTTCTCACTGAAAATTGATGAGAATAAGCATGGTCTCACCTCATACGCTTTCAGTACGACGATGAGAAGGCTCCATCAATTTGGCAAGAGCTGCTTACAATGTCACAACCATGGCTTTCCCTACTCAATATGATTATACTACCCCCTGCTTTATTCCTGATTCTGAAAAGCATAATGAGGTTCGATGGTTATCAGCAAGTTTCATGTTTTACTTTTTTTTCTAGGCTTTCGCGGTATTCGTTACTACATGATTGAGTCGGAAGTCGAATCTCGCTGATCGGGAACTTGTCGCAAATGTGATGGGGGGGGGGGGGGGGGGGGTCATAAGTGTCGGTACAAAGGTGGTTTTCTTAATGTTGGCCTGGCATGAAAGGCTTCTAGGTTGAGGGTGGGCATAAGTTCTGGGGCTCAATGTGTGGCATTGCTCCTTTTTGGACCGTAACTTTGCACTGTCTGGGATATGAAGCGGCAGTAGACAACGCTTTGAGAATCCAGAAAATATACTAACCACTACATTAATGACGTTCTTTGAAGGCGTCGAACACTTACATATTTATTTTGGGCCCTGTGCATAGTCATAATAGTAGCACTGCTCTCAGAGATCGCAGATTTTCTAGAAATATCCCTTCTGTGGAAAGCTTCAGAGCTATTCAAGCGGATTGCCAGTTACTTTTCTACCTCGAATTTGATCATATTTTCATTTCAGCTCACGTTCATTTTGGACTTGCATTATATCGGTTTTTTTCGTCGTTTCTATGGTCACTACTTATAACAGAATATATCAGGTAAGTTCACACCAAGTAATGTGTGTTTCCTTTTTAAAGTCCTCGTCTTTCAGGAGAAGCTGGCACAGCGTATGGCGGAAGCGATGAACAGGAAAGCAGATGCATGTGCACCCAACAGTATCTTGGAACAGTCTCTCGAATATCTTTCCAGTTTTATTTTCTTCCGAAAGAAGTCCCCTTGTCTTGCCTTCATTGAGGTACCTTATCTGTTTCGTTGCATCGAATCTTCTAAAAGTCTCCATGTACATGTTAGCGTGTTCTTCGGAAAGTAATTGGAACCACATCAATCGACGATTTTCAATCTTTCATTGACTTTTTTCAGTCTCAGACGGTCTCTCTAGTCGCTGAAATATCGCTGCTAGATGTATTCTCTGACGTCATATCCAACAGTATATTTGGTGTTCTTGGTAATCTCGGTCGACATACTAACCGATTCTTTAGGGAGTTTTACGAGAATGTACCCCTACCAGCCATGTTATTGATGACCGTTACATTGGTTTGTTGGTTGTAATTTTTACGGACTTTCGATTCTGAAAAGCAGCTCCTTTTAGATTTTTGCGACTGTTCGAATCAAAACGCCGTTGTTCACCTTTGAACCTTTGCGTGAGCATTTCACTCATTAGAAATTGAGCAGCAAGTTTATCTAGCCTTTTTCCAGTTTTATCAACCATTCGTTACACAGCCGGTACTGTTGCCAGATGTGTTGAAGGGTCTCGATCTGCAAACGAAAGAATTGAGCAAAACCATCGGTATAAAGCAGTCCGAGGTTCGAAATTGGAAAATCCTTTATCTAAATAGCTACTCTTGATCATACTTACCATGCATGTTTTTTCCCATCAAGTTATCTCTAAACGCTAACGTATGTGTGTACAGATGAGTCCGCTTAATCAGGTAACTAAACCAATTCAGTATAACCTCTGAAATTGATTCTATTCATATGCAGATGTTCAACTTAAAGTTTATGAAGTGAATTCATTTTATCTGATAGCTCTATGAATAATTTTCTGGGTAGTTGGGATTCTGGATAACAAAATATATACTGTATATATACTGAGCACTCGTCAGAAAACCATTCTGTATCAAATATTAATGAATTCTGGACCAATTACGCAAGCCTGCATCTGAGTTCAGAAGCAGGTCGAGTTTATGATCGGTTAGGTACACTTAGCAAACTGATGGCAAACGGAGAAACCTTGGATCTCTTTTATAAATGGAAGTTGTCGTGTCGAGAGATCGCTTCCTGCCTTATTGTCGAGAGATTCTTAGAATAATATAGGTCTTATTCGCGCATGCTCCTTTATTATCTCTTGCCCAGCTTGTTTGGGTTGAGTGTGGTTGTAGTAATGGCCGAATAGCATCTATTATCAAACTAAAACAGTTTATGCAATTATTCCGGTCCGTTTTGTTTTTCTTTGCAAATATAGCGTTTTTTAAATTCTTCGTTGCTGTTTTTTCTAGTTGTAGGAGTGATATGTGTCATTTAGAAAACGACGCATCAGTTCCAGGCAGCAGCAGGGATTATGGGTAAGTCATGTGTGTTTACAAAGTTGTTGAAGGGTTGTTTATGTGAAAACGAAAAAAAGAAATAGTTTATCTCCTTCTATAGTTTTCTATTTTTGCGTTTTCGATAAGAATTAGGCAATTTTTATCCATCCACCTTATCTGAACATTAATTATCGACTCTTTCCTTCTTGTCAGAATCTTATTTAATTGTGGGTAACATGTCCTCGAGGTCCAGAAAGTGACTCGCATCAAATAGATCAAATGGTGGTGTTCAACTAGGGCACAATTAGCCCAACTAGAACAGCTCTGCACGGTTGTTCCTTATCAGGTGGAAAAGTCTATACTCATTCTAATACTTTCTCCTTACATGCACTCGAAAGTGAACAACTGGGAACTTTCAAAAAAAAAGTTTTTTCATGAGAAAAACCTTCAGGCAACTGATTTTTATTTGAATATTTGAATGAGCTTTCCAATAAGCATTATGCAGTAACCATTCGTTTTGTTGATTATGTTTTGAGTTGTCCGAAATGTTTTCGCCGTTGCCGAATGGTTCGTCAACTGTTGTACAAAAGATCAAAGACTTAACCTTATTTTTCTGAAAGTTTAGGTTCTCCCCTAAATTCCTGTTAGGATTCTCATAAGATCCGTCGAAGTATTTCTGTATAGGCTTTGTGTGAAAAGACGACCATAACTCGCAATTTCGGCATCTGATTGAACAGGGTGAATTCCCCCTCGAAGATCGGCAACGCTCAGGGAGGCTATCGTCACTTGAGAACGGTCAAATCAAAATGTAAATCGAAACGGATCGGCGCACACTTTTCATGAAATAGGTGAAAGGCTTGATGTTTCGAAAACAACCAACAATGAGCATTTGCTGGAACTTGGTTTCGCTTAGCGCCTTAATGTTTGGCGCTAAGCGAAACCACGAAACCAACGACTCGTTGTTCAAATGAAACAGAAAATGTACTGTTTCTGAAATTCATATGTGGAGGACGAAGATTGGTCATGTACAATAACGTGGAGTGAAAACAATCGTGGAGTCTTCGAAGTGAGCCTTCACAAACAACTCCAAATATCAAAATCCAGGTGCGGAAGATTATGCTGTGTTGCTGATGGGCTTGAATGGAAATCGTTTGTTATGAGTGGTTGCCGCATGATCAAATGATGACCTTGAAAAGGTACTGTCACTTAGGCTATTTCGAGGCAACGATCCTACTTACTATAAAGCGCTTAGTCTGTCTGTCTGTCTGTCTGTCTGTCCGTCTGTCTGTCTGTATGTCTGTCACGAAATTCCTTAGCTCCTTTAGAACTGCCTGGAGAGACCCGGTCAAGTGGGGGATGGGTGGGCCAGGTCTCGAGAAGTATAAAACACATATCAGCTTGGCGGAGCCCCACCCACAGTGGGCGTGGCGTGCATCGAAATGAGCTGTACTGAGGACCATGATTTCAAATTCAGTCATAAGACGGCTTCAAAACTGGGGTTTAAAGGTGGCTTGAGGTGTGCATTGGTAAGTTAGATCGAACTGGGGAGACCCACTCCCGGTGGGCGGGGCGTTCTCCAAAAATGCAGTGCTTTATGAAAACATTTATAACTCGGTTTGGAGAAAGCCAACAGAGCAGGAAAAAGTTGATTTGTCATTGTCGAGGGTGTCTCCAGCATAAATGACGTCAGCGGAGGTCCGCCCACAATGGGTGCCTCAAAGCTCACATCCCTTCTTATATTTATATACGAAAATCCATAACTCCAGTTCCCATGGACCTAGAGAGTTCAAATTTCGTAGGGGTACAGGCGGCATGATGGGGAAACTTACGGTGGGTGGCAGAACCAGACTCCGCCCACATGGGGCGGGGTTTGGGCGGAAATTCATATCTCATGTCCCCATGACCTAGAAACTTCAAACTTGGTAGGAGTACAGGCGACAGGATGGGAGCACCTATGGTGGGTGACAAAACCGGACTATGCCCACAAAGGGCGGGGTTTGGGTGAAAATTCGTAATTCTGTCCCGATGGACCTAGAAAGTTCAAACTCGGTAGGAGTACAGACACTGTGTTGGGGAAACTTATGGTGGGTGGCAGAACCAGTCTCCGCCCGCAGGGGCGGGGTTTATGCGAAAATTCATCAATCCGATAAAGGTCTATAATAAAAATCAGCTCATGCGGCTCCGTCTCTCATGGTTAGAGCCCCAAGCGCGCGCGAGAGCGTGCGTAGCCGCCTGGTAGAACATAAACGCTTGAACAGGCAAATTGTAAGGGTGTTGTCTTTCAAGAGAATAACTCTAGACCTCACTTATCTTTGGCCGCTCGTCAAAAGCTGCTAAAGCTTGATCACACCCCCTCCCCCTTCCCCCCGTATAGTTCGGACATAGCACCGTAAAACCACTACTTTATTAGATTTCTGCAGAATTCTTCAAATGGAAAATCGTTCAGTCCGCTAGAGCACTGCAAAAAGCACCGGAGGGTTTCTTGGACTCTAAGTCCAAAACCTATGAAGTGGGGCAATAAATTCACAGGAAGATGCTTAACCACTACTGAACAGAATGGAGTTCGATGAATGTTTTGTTCTTCTGGAAATTTTCACTCGAAGATGACTAAAAAATCGGCAGAGACTTTCCGGACAACCCAATAGATGTCTTCATGCGTTTGACTAAACTCAACTGGGAGAGGGTTTGACTCTGTAATTTTCGTTGAATCTATAGAAATCTATTAGGTGAAATTATTTTTGTTGAATCTATAGAAATCAATTAGGTGGGATTAAAAGTAGAAATAAAGAAAAAAGTCAGTTCGCATTGATCAATCCCATTTTGGGAATGCGCCCCGCATCCGACTTCCAAATAGGATCGTAATGACGTGGTGAATGCGCATTTACTCTGTACTATGACTGACCGTGACCATGCGATATAAGAGTCAGTGGTTTTATCGTCTCGAACGAGACTGTTACCAGTGAACCGACCCCACAGGGGATAGTAGTAGTCTATCTGGGATTCAATCTCCCGCCAATACGTGTGTGGTAGTACGCCAGATGTCACATCCTCCGCCTTCTAGAGTAAAAACGCTTTTTGAAGAGTTCATATTCTGCTTCACACTATTATTTTGCTTTACTTCATCCCAATGTTCTTTTAGCGAATTTCCAGCGTGTTCTCCGTTCTGGGGAATTGTCAAGTTATTTGGGAAAATGTAGAATTTTACTACTTCTCTCCATCAGAGTATGTAGTTGCTTCCTTTCTTGTTATTATTTTACCTTGGTAGTATTTCTCTGGAAACCGCTTTCCTGTTCACCACCTTTACTTTCTACGCAGTACGATGGGAAACCTCAACGCTCGTCCTAACCTTCTCAGAAGTATAGCCGTATGGTCTCATAAATATGAGTCCCCGGAATGCTCCCCTTTTCTAGAAATACTTCATTTTTCTGCTCATGTGTTTTTTGTATTTGTTTTCGTTCTACACAATTAGTAAACGGATGTGGGGAACTTCATAACCCCTGAATTTTTATTCTTAATTAGGGTTGTCTCTCACACAAGTGTGAAGAGCCCTAATTAAGTTTATTGCGCACCACTATTTTTATATCCTTTAATTATCTACGAAGACTTCAACAGGTGGTCATCATATAGTGCTTTAAATTATCTTTCGTAAGATCTTTCGTAAGAGACAATATTGATATTGCTGTAAAATGTAATTTTCAGAGATCATGTTACTCTTCGTCGTCGCCCTCCTCGCTCTGCTATATGTTCAAATATGAATAGCTCTCCTCGATCTAGAGATAGTTCACTAGACTCGTCTCATAGCCGTGCCTCTAGTCGCTCTCAGAGTACTCCAAGATAGTGGCATGTATCTCATGTATATAAACCCTACATCACAGTCATCGATTGCATCATGTTACAGCTTACATCCCGGTCATTCTTGCTGAAGCTTTCGAGGTGCAATTAAGAAGTTTAATAAGATCAGCCATTCCAATTGTTATAAAATTTATGCTCTCAATTTGCGAGCTTTCCGTGTTTTGTGGATATTCAACTGTGTAAAGCATGATAATAGGATTTGCTGTAGATATAAAGGATAAAGGACAAAGTGTTTGGGCGTTGATCAATCCAGTTTGAGGGAAGTTCCGCATTCGGCTCCCATTCAGAATCGTGGTGGCGAATGGGATGCTTATGTGGCCTATACAATGACTTTCAGTAGCCAGCTGTGTACAAATCAGTGTTTTTATCCTCCCACATGAGTCTGGTGCCAAATATCCGGTCGCGGAGGGATGGAAAGCTTGAATGGTCGGGCAGATATCGGTCCAGGATTCGAACCTTGACCGTGCGTGTGTGAAGTGCGCCACTTGCCATTACACCTTACCAGGGAGGGGTAGTCTACTTATCTTGGAACTTTGAATTCAG